TGGAAACACTTAGAGGCGTATTAGGTGCATCACTACACGCTGTGCGTGCTGGGCTGTATTAGTGCAGTTTAGCAAGCATTTAGGAACATTTTCATTGACGGTTCTCCTTCACCATCTCTGGAACATTGGTTCGGGGATGCCCATGGGGACCCCGGTCCAGGAATGCTCAAGCCTCTTACGTAAATGGGCGTAGTATTTGCACGTAACAGGTGCATATCCTCCCGGAGTGGGCTTTAAGTCATCTAGACGGCTTACAGTGCCTAGCGGGGTGTACATGCTGTGTAAGTAGTCCGTGTGGGGAATAACAGCAAGAAAGGTCTTCATGCACACAGCAGATGGTTTCTTTTTCCCACTCTGCCATGGATTGAATCCGCACCTGTAGAACCCGGAGATAATCTGTAGAAGGTGTTGCTAAGCACGTTGCAGCTCCAGAACCTCAGTGTCAGATACTTCGGGGACATAGGCACGGTCTTCCTCAGGGGCAGGGCCTCCTGTGCAGCACGGGAATTCATTCCATGTGGGTTGCTGTGTATTCCCACCTCGAGGCACACCTGCTGCCCCTGTTGAACAGGTGCAGTTTCATTTGGGGCCCTGGCCATAGTGCTGTGTGCCCACCTTCCCGTCTGGCTCTTCCCACCGTGATTTGCCCGGTCCCTCCAGGTGCCCAGCTGCACCCCACACACCCTAGCCAAGATGGAGGTCCATCTTCACGCAGGTTTTTTCAAATCACCTGGGTAACAGTGGTTTCCCTGCTTGTACCATGTTAAAAACAAAATGGAGTTTCTGGTGGAACCAACAGAAGCAATTTATAAAGGCTTTAAGCTTAGCAGGAAAGAGGGAATGTGCACTGGGTAGATCTGCACAGCAGTTTTGTGCTCTTATATTTTATTTTAGCTCTTTTCCCCCCTTTGGAAACATGGTGCCTTTAATTTAAAGTATGCTGTCATCTGCTCCGTCGTATCATTTGATCTGAGGAATTTAATTACTTGTTTAGATCCTTCCTTATTCTAAGGACGGTTTACGGTGATTTTATCTAAATTGTGAAGAAAAGTGGCTGTCTGTGCAGTCCCCTACAGATTTATAATCTTCAAGCTCTGTGTGTTTTAAATTAAAAGCTCTATGACATTATAAGCTTTAAATAAACACTGTTTAAATCATCTTAAAGGATACAGCTATTTTTGTGTCTTTGGAATTTGCGTTTCTTCAGGCGCCTTTCTTCCTCCCCGTGCGCGGCTCTATCTTCCCACCTGGCCCCGATCCTTTGCCTTGCTTTTCTCGCTCATTCCTGTCTCACCTACTAGAAGAAAGTAAAAGCCGCTGCCTCGCTGCCAGCCTGCCCATCTCCTTACCCTGAGAGCCCTCGTTCCTTTTTCCACCTCTTGGCAAAGAGGGAGCTAAAAGCAGCGCTCATTAGCGGGTGATCTTCCCTGCACGCCTGCTCTTTCAGCCCTCTGCTACTGCCGAAGAGCCGAGAGGAGTCCTTCTACGTGCTTCAGAGAAACAAAGTGCAGGGTGGGCCCAGAAAACCTCCCATTACTCGGGTTATGATCCGTACAGCAGCTCCTTATACAAACCACCCCGGGAGGCCTCTTCTTCAAGTCCTGCTTGCTGTCTTTTGTACTCCATAAAAGGTCATTGATTTCTCCATCCTGCCGATCATGCCTTAGCAATTTCAAGGATCCAGAAGGGCGGAGAGTCTGAGATTTACTTTGTACCATTTACAGCATTGCAGTAAAATACAGCCTGTGCTAGAGACCCAAGGAGATAGCCAAAATGTTAAAGACGAAACTGCACCTGACAGTGCAGCCGCGGGCACTTTTGCCACAAAAAAGCACAGAAAAGAAGGAAGGAGAGGCCTTTCTGTTGCTGTAACTGCAGAACACAATTGTCTATATAAAGGCCAGGTGTCCAGGGGCTGGGATGATGGGGTGGGGGGCATCCTGTGCCCCATTCCCCAGCGGAGGGCTGCAGAGTTCCCGGAACAGGTACAGTGAGCCCCAGGACCAGCAGGTAAGCCTACACAGGGGCACTGTCCTCCAAGGGCCCAGCCAGCACATCGTGGGCTGTGGTCCCCATGCTTGGGGTACCCAGGGTGGCAGGATCCAGAACAGACCGCTGTAGCCCACCCACCAGAAGCACAGGTGGTGGAGGGTGTGGGGCCCATGTGGAAGAGTTCTGCCTGCAAAATGGCCTGCACCTGGATTCATTCAACATTTGCAAAAAAACAAACACTGTTGGGTAGGACAGTGTAATCAGACCTTGCTGTGTCCTCACCCCTCCTACGAGAAAGATGCAAAGAATAAAATGCAGGGGCCAGTGGGTGGCACCAGAATTTGAGTGACTACAAAGAAAATAGGAAGCTTGGTGCCTGCACCTGGTCCAGACAGCACCCAGCAGTGGCATCTGGGGAGAGCAGACGTCTTAGGGCTCACACCTGCTGACATCGTGTCACCATCGTTAAGAGTGTGTGGTCTGACAACTTCCAGAATGGACTTACACACTTCCAGTGTAACACCAGTGTTTATGTGCATATGATGCACATGAATATATGTTCATGTATGTGCATAGCCACAGGCTTGTGAGCATATAAATGCATATGAATGCATTTGTTCATGTATGCATAACCACATGTGCTTGTGTGCGTAGAAATTCATACAATATGTTCATGTGTATGCATAACCACACATGCTTATGTACATATAAATGCATATAAATATGTATGTGCATAACCACACGTCTATGCATATAAATCCATATGTATGTTCACATATGCATAACCACACCTGCTTATGTGCATATAAATGTATATAAATATGTTCATGTGTATACATACTGCATGTGTTTATGTGCATAAAAGTGCATATTAATAATTTATTCATGTATGCATAACCACATGTACTTATATGCATATAAATTCATATGAATATATGTTCATGTGTATGCATAACTGCACGTGCTTATGTACATATAAATGTATATAAATGTGTTTCTTCATGTGTGTGCATAATGGCATGTGTTTATGTGCATATAAGTGCATATTAATACATTTGTTCATGTTTGCATAACCACATGTGCTTATGTGCATAGACGTTCATATGAATATATACATTCATGTATTGTATGACCACACGTTTATGTGCATATGGATGCATATGAATATATATGTTCATGTGTATGCATAACCGCATGTGCTTATGTGTATATACATGCATGTGCTTATATGTGTTCATGTGTGTGCATAACAACACATGCTTATGTTCATAGAGATGCATATGAAGATGTATGTTGTATACCAGGCACAGTCTGCTTTTTCACCTACTGAAATTAGCTTGAGGCAGTACAATTATGGGTACAGTTTTATAGAATATTGATAAATAACTGTCCAGTGTGCAGCTTCCTCTGACTGTCTGCTCGTGTATGTGCCTGACGCACTGTTTGTGTCCACAATTTCTTTATCCGAGGCTGTACTGCATCTCCCAGTATAGAGAGAAGAAAGTAGGATGTAGACACCATTTACTGCATTTCTTCTGTAGCATCTTGGAAAGCCCAGCTGGAAGCCATTGACGCCACTCAGTTCTTTCGAGAACTGTTGGGTCTAGCTGAAGATCCAGAATCCGTCCCGCAAAGGGTGCATGACCCAAGTGAAGGCCTCACTGCCAAAGCTACAACAGAATCAGAGTCTGAACTTCAGTGTTGGTCGGACAAGCCCAGCGACTCCGTAGTCAGCCGTGTGTGACCAGTCCCACCTCTGCTTCCCAGATGTGTGGAATGTGTGTGGCAAAGCCACAGGAAACTGTCAGGAGAAGTCCTGGATGGGAGGCTTCCGCACAAAACCTTTCTGCATTTATCAGACCCTTGAGATCATGGTCGGCTCCATGCTGCTTACCTGGTCTTGAAGCTGCTGTGTTGGGTGAACACTCCTCATGCCTCCTCGATGGCCACTTGGGTGCTTTTTGGTGAGCTGACCTTCTAGACTCGTGGAAGGCATAGGATGAACAGCTAGTATTTCACCAGCACACACTCCTTGTCCAGTGCTGTTCCAAGAATCTTTCTTACAGTGTACGAGATGGGTAGCACTAATCACCCAGTGCGGTTCTGAGGTCACTTATGTGTGCAGTAATAATTGTAGTATTGCACAGTTGTTCCACCGCCATCCCTAACGTAATTGGTAACACCAGTGCCAGTACTACATATTAAACTGCTCTGGCTATGGAGGAATGACGTGAAGTGTCTCTACGTGTTGAGTACAACTTGTTTTCTAAGACTGTGGGGAGTGCTTGGTTGACCATCACTGCGCAAGCAGACCAGAAGGGCTGACCTTGGGTACTGTGTGGACTTCAGTGCCCTACACATGAGTTGTATGAGCACGCTTGCCATCTCTCATGTTCACCTGGTGTAAATATAGGGAAAGGGAGCACAGATACATAAGCCATTTGGTGGAAACCACGCGTATCCTCCTGCATACCGAGCTAGGGTCTCACGGTCAGGGCAGCTTGGCGCCATTGTGACACTGATGAGTATGTGTACTCGGTTGTCATCTGCAAGTACCACAGCTCTGTCCATGGCCCGGCAGCTCGCAGGCGGGAGTCATCGCGTGGGTGCCACACCAGACCCTGGGTGGTGTTTCCTTCGGCTTGCCTGCAAACACACAGCGGAGTCACATGCCATGGGATAGAGGCAGCGAGCCCACGGGCGTATTGTGATCACGTTCGCCTGAATAGAAGAACCGTAATCCAGATCCCGTTTTCCCCCAATGGCTACTTTTCCAGGTCACCACTCCAAAGACTTGAACCCCAGCCACCTGGAGGTGTTGGCCTGGGCACCTTTTAGCAAAGAGGACCTTGACACTCCTCCACCGTGTACTTATGCCTCCCTGAAGGCCTTTTTCATGACATGAGACTTAACACTGTGTGTGTTTATACTGATCTAACGCAGACTTCGTGTTAGTATGGTCCGCATGCTAAAAGTCTATCTTTCGCTCTCCTGTTTTGTCTCTGCAGATACCGAGCGGCTCTATTCAGTGGTGTTTCAAGAAATCTGCGGTCGCTATGGGAAGGAATACAGCTGGGATGTGAAGTCGCTGGTGATGGGTAAAAAGGCCTTAGAAGCTGCTCAGATCATAATAGACGTCCTGCAGCTCCCCATGACCAAAGAGGAGCTGGTGGAGGAGAGCCAGAGGAAGTTACAGGAGCTGTTCCCCACTGCTGCCCTTATGCCAGGTATTTCCTGTGCCCTCTGCTCCTCCTCCTCCTGCTCTTCCTCCTCCTTCCCCTCTTCCTTCCCTCCCCCACTTCTCTTCCGTCTTTCCCGTGCTGTGAGTGAGCATTAGGAGCCTTCTAAATCACTTGAAGTCCAGACTGCACGCTATATCTCATTGTGTCTTACTAAGTCTCAGGACACACCCTGGAGATTTCCATTGACGCTTGAGGGTGATGGTTCAGTCAGCCCGCTTAAAAGAACATGCATCAGTTTCACTGATGTCTGGGGTCCAAAAAAGACTTCAGTTTTATTTAGTCTAGTTTTTTATTTCCATGGCACAGGGGATCAAATCCAGCGCTGGGCCGGCAGTCTACTACTAAGCCGCACCCCAGCCCTTTCCTAACATTCGGTAAAGAATACATTCGTGTCGGAATTGCTTCCTACTTCACTTTAGTAAGCGGCTTCACCTCTTTCTTTTCCAAATCAGATATAGGATTAAAATTTCAGCAGTTATTCAAACTTTAATAATTTGATAAGCAGCTAAATCTCCCCATAGGAGTTTAACTATAAAAAAGTTAAAACCCTACTTTATTTTTAATGTGCTTGTGCACCATGTAGCTCACTTGCTTGCTTGATTGTGTATCTGTCTCTCTTTTATTTCGTGGTGCTGACAATTGAATCCAGGCTGTCACGCATGGTGGGCAGTTACTGTACCACTGAGCTATGCCTGTGGCCCAAGCCCTGGCCTGTGTCCATCCCTGTATCCAGTGTCCCCTTAGGGAAGCTACTCTGTTGCCGTGGGCTTATTTACTATGGTTCCACTGTAAAGTAGACTTCCTGCTACAAGTGAGAAAGACAGGCACATCCTACGTTTCAGGTCAGACAGTATTCAAAAATGAACTGTTGAATATATCCCAAAGGTGACAGCGTGAATACAGTATTCTGCCTTTAGAATTCCTGGTGCCCAGGGGAGAGAAACATTACTTCGCAACAGTAATTTGGGGTTTAAAATTGTATTATTAATGTTAAGCATGCACAATTTTGAAATGTATGTTCGTATGTATAGTTATACGTAGATAAGGAGATCTCCAAACATGCCAGGTGAATGTTCCTGGGAATTAGAGTTTTCCTGCAAGATCCTTGCTAATGGTGGGGGCTGTGTCAGAAGTCACATGGGCTAACGTTAGATCTCTCTCTCACACACACACACACACACACACACACGCACACACCCCTATGTGATTATTCTCGGTATCGCGCTGCAAGTGTTGTGTCTGCATGTCAGCTCGGTGAGTACCACCATGATAGTACAAAGTGCTCTGCATCTGTATCTTCCCATAGCGTTTGCACAGGGAGTGGTCATATAAGTCTTGATGGAAACACAGCCAGGCACTTAATATATTCTTAACCATGGGTTAATACAGTAAGAACATAGCGCATAGCATCAAATATAACATCTTAACCCTACTTTAAGTGTGTAAGACTTTGGTTTGGTAGTGTTGACTTTATTCACATGGTTATACAGCAGATCTCCTGAACTCTTTCTCACCTTGAAAATCTAAAATTATACCCTCTGAACAGAACCTTCCTGCCCCACCTCCCTCAGCTCCTGCACCAGCTTGTATCATAGCAGTGCACAGCGGTTCTAGTGTCTCCACTTTCTCATGAGTACCTGTTAGTCCCCACCACCCGCTGCTGGTCTCAAACTCATTCTCCTGTCTCCGCCTCCAGAGTCCTAGGACTGCAGGCGTGTTCCACCATACCAGGCTCTTTGTTGTTTTGATAGCAGTCATCCGGATGGGTGTGAGGTCCGGTATCACTGTGGTTTGATTTCTGTTTCTCTTTAAGAGTTAGCAGGTAGTACACTTCTTTACCTATACTCACTGGCCATCTATATATCTTCTGTGGGGAACAGCCCATTCATGTTCTTTGCCCATTTTTTAACTCAGTTAGTTTGCTGTTGGATTAAAGGATCTCTTTATATATTCTGGATACTACCCCCTTATCACATATGCAATTTAGAAACACCGTAACGCATTCAGTAGGTTGCCTTTTTCAGTCCCTTGATTGATCTTTTGATGTGCAAAAACTTTCTGATATAATCACTGAAGTGGTCTTGAAGTACTTGTCAGGGATCACTTGTCCGTAGACGGCCGAGTTGTTTCTGGGCTGTCTCTCATATCCCCTTGGTTTACATTCCAGAACCACACTGTGTTGGTTCCTGCTTCTTTCTTATAATATTTTCAAATTAGGAAGTTTCCATCTTTCTTCCTAACAGCTGTCACTATTTTGGACCCCGTAAGAGTCCGTATTATTTTACGGTAAAATTACCTATTTCTGATCAAACTTCCATTGAGATGTTGAAATTGTAGTCTGCTTTATATGCTGTGAGGATCTTAATAGTACTAAGATTTGCAATCCCACGAATGTAGGATGTCTTTCCATTTATGTGCATCTTCTTTAGTTTCTTTCAGCAGTCTTGTGATTTTGGTGCGCAGATACTTAGTTCTTCTATGTTTATTCCTAGACACTTCATTTTTTAAAGTAATTTTAAGTGGAATTGTGTCAGTAATTTACTTTGGGAATTTTCCAGTTGTTAGTGTATACAAACATAGAAACATGATTTTTGTTTGGTTTTCTTTCAACTTTTTAAAATTGCTTTATTAGATTTACAGTTTTGTATATGTGTATGCGTATCTATATGTGTGACCTTCTTTTATATAAAATCATCTCATCTGCAAACAGGTGGTTTTACTCCTTTCAAATTCTTTCAGTTTCTTTCTCTTGCCTAATTTTGCTGGTGAGGACTTCTAATACTGGGTCAAAACATCTCACCGTGTTCATAATCGTACAGAAAAAGCTTTTAGTCTCCCTTCATTGACTAGGATAGTAGCTGTGGACTTCGTACATATGTTGAGCTGGTTTCCCTCTATTCCTCCATTTTTAAGTGTTATTTTATTTTTTGAGATGATCGTGCGATTTATGCCCTTTGTTCTATTAATGTAGTTTCATATATTGAACCATTCTTGGTATATCATCCTTTCATTTGCTCACCTCTGTTTGTAAGCTTTTTATCTACATTTCTCTATCGAGTTTACCAGGCATGTTGGCCTGTAGTTTTCTTGTTTGAAAGGTTTGGTGGAAGTCTCCCGTGAGGCCAAGTGGAGCTGGGCGTTTCTTAGTGGAAGCCTTATGGCTTATTACCATTACCACCACCAGCATCACCACCACCAGCATCGCCGTCGTCCTCGCCATGATCTCCCTAAACCTTCCCATTTCAGGCTTTCTTCGGATTTTCTACTTCTTTATAGTTCAGTCGTGGGAACTGATCCATTTTGAGGATATCCATTCTGCCAAGAAATGACTCTCTAATTCTTTTTGTTTCTGTGGTATTGATTGTAATTCCTGACCTTTTTATTTCGGATTTTAATGACCTGAATCCTCTTCCATTTTTCTTGTAAATACTCTGTGACCTAGAGTCCTTTTCAGGCTTTTTAGCATGCAAAGCACCCCTAATGTATTAGACTTTTTTTTTCATATTCACTCAAGCCTTGCAACTGGTGTTCTCTCTAGAGTTCCTGCCCTGTGTTCTGAGACACAAGCAGGTTCCCCTCCATTCTGAAAGTGTGCCATGCTGTACCCGGCTAGTCTGGTACTCAGGCAGGATGCTAGTGAATGCATTTTACAGACTTGACTTGGTGCTGCAGTGACCTCGTTTAAAAGAGCCAATCCTAGAAAATCCTGGAATGGGAGCAGCTCCGAGCCTGGAGCCAGCCCGTCCAACACAGCTCCCCTGCATGGCCCTCTGGGTTCCTTCCACCACTTTTCTTTACCTCTTCCAGGTCAATGGGTTAAAGGAATTATTTCATTCTTTTTTTTTTTTTTTAGCCTATAAATCGTATTTTTAAATAAGTTCTTTGTGCCTGTATACTTAACTTTTACTAGCTTCCCCCCTGAGAGTTAGTACTTATCAAAGATAACAAGTCTGCCTTTGAAAGTACAGCACACTCGTATCTGCACGCCACATAATTAGCTGTGTGTGTGTTGATAGGAATGTGAGCATAATATGCAGAGAACTGGAAGAGCATGGAGAAAAACCCACAGTAATCCGCGGTGGGAGAAACTAAACATGACGCTGGGATGCCGGGTCCCACGGGGACAGGGTTCAGGAGATGCCTTCGTGACCACAGAGCAGTTAGGATGGGGCAGACGGTTAGAAATTTGCTTTCTCCCCAAGGGCGCAGACGAGCAGAAGGAAAATGCTGGCTGGAATGTATAGAGCGGAAAGGCTGTGCAAACCTCCTGACCCAGAAACACCCTTTCCCTGGCGTTTCTGTTTTGTAATGTGCACGAGTGAGAATGATACAACAGTGCAGGCCTTCTGTGCTGAAAGGACTGGCCTTGGGGTGTCGTTTCCGTCCCTTCTCTCCGCAGCCCTCCCGTCGCCTCCCTTCTCTGAGCCCCGCCTGAATTCTGCCGGAAAGGCAGCCTTTTCCTGTCCCTGTTGCTGTGACTGCCGTCCCCATCCAGGACCCGGGGCGTCGTTTTGCTCACTTCCTGCTTTCTTCCCCTTCTTCATCTGTGAGGGATAACAGAACCCTTAGGTTCATTGATTGTTTTCTTTCTAAAATAATAAGGTAATAAGACATTTTAGGTCTTCTGATAGTAAGACATTTTAGGTTGTAAAAGCCGCCATGAGCTCCTTAGAAATGACAGCCATCCACAGAGAGGGTGTGATACCCATTCCCTGTCCTTGACCTTCCTGCCCTCCTACTTTAAAAGCCACCCCTCTGGCCCCTAGTTGGGGTCAGCCCATGTCCAGTAGGAGGAGTATGTCCCAGGGGGAGCAGGCCCGGACTAGGCTGTGGGGGCTGGGCTGATGTGATCCGGATGCAGAGTATCACCACAGGACCTGCCGGGGTCGCACGTCCTCGGGGCTCATCTGATCCGAGTAAGAAGCTCTTGCACATCTGGCTTGGTCAGCCACAGGGAAGAACCTCGGGCTCCCCTGGGGGTTCCT